TCCTGTAAATATTTACAGCCTTGGGAATTCTATGGGAAGTTTTATTCTGTCTAGTGAGTTAAAAAAAATTATGTTTATAAGTGCCATCGAGTCATAGGTGATGCATAGTGACCCTGTGAACAAAAGTCATCGACAGTTGCATGACTTTGATTCTTTCTCCATGTTCGTAGGGTTTCCCGAGGCAAGCTGTTTATGGAAGTGGATGCCACTCCTGCTTCCAAGTTGTAAATTAACTCCAAAACTTTTCCGTCACTCCCAAATAACACCCCATTGTCATTAAGCATTCTCCACGTTTCTGCCTCCTCCCAGCTCCTGGCAGCTGCCAGTTTGTGCTTTCTGTATGGCACACCTATTCTGATTATTGAATACAATATTGAATATTAAGCAGAATCACATATTGTGGGACGTTTTGTAGCTAGCTTCTCTCACTTTGCGTGTTTTCAAGGTTAATCAATACTGCAGCCTACATCAGGACTTAATTCCCTCCTTTGTGGCTGAATGATATTCATGATACACACACACACCCCCCCCACACATTCACACTTGGAAGAATATGTAATAAAGAGTAACCAAACTCTAATCAATACCCTAGTAAGTACATTTTATTAACTATATATATCCTTTAGTGTATATTGTTGTTGTTGTTCTGTGCCATTGAGTTGACTACAACTGATAGTGAACCTGTGAACAATGGCTCTGAACCTTGCCTTATCCTGAGCCACCTTCACTATCTCTGACACACTTTACCCCATTGCCATAGTCACTATGTCAATCCGTTTAATCCAGGGTCTTCCTCTCTTGCACTGACTCTTTACCTTTCTAAGTATGGTGTCCTTCTTCAAGGACTGGTCTCTCCTGGCCCAAAGTACATGAGACAGAGCACAAAATCTTTGTTTCCATGGAGTAACCTGGTTTCTTCTCCAGGGCAGACCTATTTGTTCTCTTGGCAGTCCATAGTCTGTTCGAAACTCTTCTTGAGAACCACAACTAAAAGGCATTGATTCTTCTTCTGTCATCCTTAGCCATTGTCTAGCTCTCAGATGCATAGCAAGTAATTGAGAATACCATGGAACCTTAGTATTAGTGCTCTTTAGCACTCTTGAGAGGTTCTTGAAAGCAGATTTTCCCAGTGCAACTCATATTTTGATTTCTTGGTTTCGGGATCCAAAGTATTGATTGTAGATCCAAGCAAGATAAAATCTTAACTACCTTAATCTTTTCTCCATCCATTTTTTGGCCCAGTGGTGAGGATCTTTGTTTTATTTATGTTAAGATGTAATCCATATATAAGACTACAGTCCTTGACCTTCTGTAGCAAATGCTTTAAGTCCTTCTCAGTTTTGGCAAGCAAGGCTGTGTCATCTGCATGATGCAGGTAGTTGATGAGTCTTCCTGCAATCCTGAAGCCACATGTTCCTTCATAAAGTCCATCTTCCTGAATGTTCTGTTCACCCTCTTGGCTTAGTGGGTTAAGGATTGAACAGCTATTCAAAGAGTAAATAGTTTGAAGCTACCAATCACATCAAGGGAGAAAAAGAAGGCTTTTGTTGAGATTTAGCTCAGACCCATAATGGGACAGTTCTGCTTCATCTGCAGTGTCTCTATGAGATGGAGTCAACTTGACAGAAGTCAGTTTTTTGTTTGGTGTTAGATCCATAAAAATGTAAGTTGTTAAACTAAATGAGATTGCTAAGTTACATTGCATTTTCTCAAGTTTCCCCATTATGTATTCACTGTGTGTTCTTTTATTTTGAATTTGGCTAGAGCAGTACACAATAGTTGTTATCACAAAGGTTTATGGAAAAATTTACAGAAGAAAAAGGCTGGTAATATTCAATGACATAAATTTTTCATTCGACAGGTTAGGAAAAATTTTTCTTCTCTATTTAATTAAAAAATTATTATTAATTTTTTTAATTGTCATTTGAATTTAACGATCTTATTTAATTTCAGCAGTAGAATATCCTTATCTAGTTCATCTTGATCTAAGCAGGATTCTGAGGGAGCTTTTTCTCAAAATAATACATAAAAAAGAAAATAAATTGTATTTTTTTGGTTTTGTGTATTATGAAAATCCTTTGATACCATTTTAACTATTGGGATGTTTAACACTTATTAATCACTCTGAAACATGTTCATATTTTAAAAGATAATTATTATTTCTTTTAGGATAATGAGCATTTATATCTATTTTTAGATGACTTCAAACCTGCCTCGATTGACTATTCCTGTGAAGGGGATCTAGAAGTTGGCAAAGGAGAAGAGGTTACAATAACTCTACCAAATATAGAAGTGAGTATATGTATATTTTAGACTATGGATCTTTTTTGCTGGGTTTTCACTAAATTGATATGCAAATAATTGCTTAGTTCATGAAGTGAAATAACAGGGAATTTGGAGACTAAAGCACTTTCTGTAGCAGATAAAACATAATAAAAACCAGTAACTAAGAGTAGGCTTGATGGAGCATTTGGGATCAGGTTATGAAGGACCTTTTATATTGGTTCCACAGACATTAAGAGAAGTATTATTGTTGTATACTATAGAGTTGGCTTCGACTCAGTGACCCTATGTACAATAGCTCTGAACTCTGCTCTGTCTTGAGCCAATCTTACTGTCTCTGACACACCTATACTCATTACCTGAGTTCCTAAACCACATGTCTCTGGAAACTCTATGAACATAGAGAAATGATGATAGTTATAGACAGGGTTCAGGTCTTTTGTTCATGGGGCGCTATGAGTCGTACTTGACTCTATGGCATTTAACAACAACAATTTGGAATCTTTGGGTTGTTGTTCTGGGATGTCTTACACATCCGTGTTTAGCCACGATGCTAGAAAACTACTTTCTAAACAAATATAACCCATTTGGCTTAGCATGATCCTACAGCTCAGATATCCAGCTAAGGGTTCTACATCTCAGCCTTCCACAATCACCACAGACACTACTCATCCTAGTGCAGTACATTCTTGATCCCTTTTTTTGGTTATTATTTAAATGTGAGGTTTTTATTTAAAAAATTTGAAACAAATGTTATACCAAGCAAGACCTTACTTTTCTTGCTCCCAAATAAAACAGCACAAAATTGGCAACTGTTAATTGTAATTAGGTACAACATATTTCCACTCACTGAGGTTGCTGTAATCTTATAAAGATACTTTATTTTTCAGCATATTAAACCCAAGCTTAATATACAAACAAGAAAGTGATCTTGATTTTGTGTTCTGGACAGTGCACAAAATGTGGGAGAAACAAAAATACAACACACTTTTTCTTTTTTAAAAAAACAAAACCCAAACCTATTTTATACTCCCACTAACAATGAATAAGGGTTCCAATTTCTCCACAGCTTTGCCACCATTTATTGTTTGCTGCTCTGTTAAACTTTCTATTGTTACAGAGGTGAGATGATATAGTTGTTTTTATTTGTATCTCTCTGATAGCTATGGATTTCAAGCATTTCTTTATGCGTTTGCTTGCCATCTGAATATCTTCTTTGGTGAAGTAGCTATTCGTATCCTGTGCTCATCCACTATGGAAGTTGGTTTGTCTCTTTCTCAAAAAGTTGGAAATAGAAATACCATTTCACCCAGAAGTGCCACTACAGGGAATATACCCTCAAGAAACTAGAACTGCCATTCAAACAGATATATGCACACCAATGTTTATTGCTGTGTGATTTTTCAATAGCAAAGAGTTAAAGCAATCCAAGCACCCGTCAGTGAATTAATGAATAGAAAAACCTATGGTGTATACATACGGTGGAATATTACACAGCACTGAAAAACAATGAACTCAAAACATTACACAACATGGGGGACCCTGGAGGACATCATACTGAGTGAAATATCTCAGTCACAAAAGGACAAATACTGCATAGCACCAGTGTTATAAAGCAAGTCTGACATAGGAGATTGGGAAGGGAAAAGGATAAGAGTGGCTAGATAATGGTTATTGCATTGGAACAGATGAAGCAAAGAACTGATTAAAAGGAATATATGATTAGGAATTATTTATATGACAACAGCCCAGAATAAGAGATATATCGTTGCATAGAGGACCGGGGGGAGTGGGGAGGGGTAGGTAATTGTGCAACAATAAATGAATATTTTAAAAAAGTGAACTAGGGAAGGTAGAAGAGAAGGCATGGGATAAAATGTACAATAATGAATGAATGAAAAATCTAATTTTTCTGTAAATGTTCATTAAAATTACAATTAAAACAAAATTTTATTTTAACTTTTTTAATTTAAATTTTTTTAAATATTTTGTGTGTGTGTGTACCATCAAACTGGATCTAACTGATACAGGAGGAGGTTGTCCCTCCTCCAGCAGAGCATTTAGTGGATTTGAACTGCTCACTTCTGGGATTCCAGTGCAGCTTCTTGCCACTAGCCCACCAGAGCTCACCCAAAATTTTATTTTTTAAAAAAGAAAAAGAAACCTAAATAGTTTAAGGTAGATTTTTATGTCCTATTTCTCTTGTAATAAAAAAAAATAGTATATGAAGAGCCAGGGCTTGTACCTGAATAAGAAGGCAAAGGCTGGGTGCTTTCTTGCATCGCAGCTTGCTTGCTCTAAACTCACTTCTAAAGAGAAGTTGAAGGGTTGGGACTTGGACTGCAGAGTATTTGTTCCCATTCCCAAGAAAGTTGATTCAACAGAGTGTAAGAATTATCAAATAATATCATTGATATCACACATACATAAAATACTGCTGAAGAATATTAAAAAAAAAACAACTACTAGGGGAACTCTGACACCCACCAAGACCATGTGGACACTCATCCCCATTTGGAAACATGCCATTGCAAAAATAGCTAGAACATTACATAGATGGACAACCTTCAGATGTTCAAGCTGGATTTAAAGGAAGCCATGGTACTGGGGATATAATTGCTGATGTCAGATAGATCTTGTCTGAAAGCAAAGAATACCAGAAGAATATCTGTTTGTGCTTACTTGTCTATGAAAGGAGTGTGCGGGTCATAAATTATGGCTAACATTGAGAAGAGGATCCTGTAGGACATCATGCTGAGTGAAATATCTCAGTCAAAAAAGGACAAATACTGCATAGCACCACTGTTATAAAGCAGGTGTGACACGGGAGTTGAGAGGAGAATAGCATAAGAGTGGATAATGACCATTGTATTGCAGCAGATTAAGGAAAGAACTGTTCAAAAGGAATATAGGATTAATCTCACAAGACTGGCTTATTAGGGGACCTTACTTTTGCTCTGCTGCAAGACGCTGATGCCTGTGTGGCATGACTGGGCCAGGAGCATCTTCCAGCCACTGCTTCTCCTGTGTCTTTGAAAGGCTGTGGCCAAGCCCAGGCACACTCACACCTTGGCCAGCAACAGAACCACTGCCTGCCAAGTTGAGGGGCTGCAATCCCACCCAGAGCACTAGACCACTGCTACTGCCACCTCGAGACCTCACTGCCCTACTGCCTGAAGACCAGGGACCAGAGAAGGATGCCCACTGTCACCACTTCTGTTCAGTATTGTAATGGAAGTGCTTGCTAGAGCAATACAACAAGAGACATAAATAAAAGGCATCCAGATTGGCAAAAAGATGGTCAAACTGTTGTTATATGCATACAATATGATATTGTACACAGAAAACCCCAAGGATTCAGCAAGAACAACAAAAAACCAACACAACTGTTAGAGCTAGTAGACAAATTTAGTAGAGTGGCACAATATAAGAGTAAGTTTAAAAAATCAGTTGGATTCCTCTACAGTAACAGAAAAAGAATCCAAGAAAGAAATACCATTTACAATAACCAAACACAAATTGAGATACTTGGGAATGAACTACATAGATACACAAAAGACCTATACAAAAAACCCTACAGAACGTTTCTTCAAGACACATACATACAAAAAGACCTAAAAAATGGGAAAATGTGCACTGTTCATGGATATAAAGACTCAATGTGAAAATGACAGTCCTACCAAAAGCAATCTACAATACCAATCCAGACATCAAATTCATTTTCCAAGGAGATCAAAAGGGACATTGTCAAATTTATTTAGAGAGGAAAGAGACCATGAATAAGCAAAACACTTCTGAAAAAAAATTAAGAAAGAGGCATAGCACTCCCTGACCTTAAAATCTACTACACAACCCTGACAAGCACTGTGGCAATTGGACAATTAAAAGAGACATTCGGATGGCGGGGAAGAAGAACAAACTGGGGAGGAGGGTAGAGAGAATGGTGCAGCAATGAAGGAATGAAAACCCAAAATCCCTGTAAATGTTCATTAAAACTAATAAAATTTAATAAAATTTAAAAAAAATCTACTACACAGTGGTAGTAACCCAAACAGCCTAGTACTGGTACAATGACAGGCACATAGACCAATGGACCAGAATTGAGAACCCAGAAATGAGCTATGCTATTTATGGTCAACTGATATTTGATAAAGAACTAAAACCTATCAAATGAGGAAATGACAACGTCTTCAATAAATAGTGCTGGCAAAACGGGACAGCTACCTGCAGAAAGTGTAAAAAGGATCCACATCTCACGCTATACACAAAAAATCAACTCAAGGTGAATTACGGAGCTGAGAGTAAAGGCCATAAAGTTCATCAGAAGCAAACTGGGACCAAGCTTAGAAGGCTTAGTCTATGGTATGAAGAGACTGCTAAATACAGCCAAAGATGCACAATCTGAAGAAGATAAAATAATGAAAGGAATTTCTAAAGATTAAATCTCTGTGCTTATCAAAACCTTCTTCCAACAGGGTGAAAAGAAAGCCTACCAAACATTTGGCAATAGCATCCCAGACAAGTGTCTCATAACAAAAGTTTACCAAATACTCCAGGACCTCTAGACAAAAAAGATGGATAACCCAATTAGAAAATAGGCAAAAGACATGGCAAGACTTTTTACAGAGGAAGACATCCAGGTGGCCAACAGACACATGAAGAAAGGCTTAAAATCACTGGCAATAAGAGAGATGCAAATCAAAACCACTGTGAGATAACATCTCACCCCAGTAGCAGCAGTAAAGGTTAGTAGGGCAGCATGCAATAAATGTTGGAGAGGTGGGAATGTTCATAAACTGTTGGTGGGATTGTGAAATGGTACAACCCCTTGAAGAGAGTTTGGCATTTCTTCAGAAAGCTGAACATAGAAACTCCATATGACTCAGTTATTCCACTACTAGGAATATACCCCAAGAAAATTAGAACTGAGACACAAAAGAAATTCATGCACCAATGTTCATAGCAGCATTATTCACCATTGTAATAACATGAAAACAGCCCAAATATCCAACCACAACCAAATGGATTGAGAAATTGTGGTACATTCGCACAATGGAATACTATACAGCACACAGGAGCAATGATTTTGAAAAATACTAAGTAACTATGCTGAATGAGCTAACACAGTCTCATAAGGACAAATGCTGCATAAGACCATTATTGTTAAAATAGAATGATAACTAATAAAACATGTATGGGAACTCGAGGGGAACAGACAGGTGGGAGTCTAAGGGTGAGGATAGGTAGGGGCAAAACCATAGGGTTGCCCAATTTGGTGGGTAGAGGGAGTGGGTGCATAGAAAGGGGAAGGATCTGGGTGAAAAGATGGAAATGATGAGCAAAGTCTAATAATGATTGATAATATTAAACATGATGCATGAGAATGACTCTATGAAACACAGTGTAAATGAAGAATTGTGTGAAACACAATGTATACTGAACTTTGTAAGCAAACTGATAAAAAATTTTTTTAAAAAGGAATATATACGATTAGATATTATACATAAGACAATAGCCCAGAAGAAGAGGTACATTGCAAAGAAGACTGGGGATGGGGAAGGTCGGTAATTGTGCAACAATGAATAAATTTTTTAAAAACCGTTAACTGAAGGAGGAAGATGGAGGGAGAGGGAATAAAATATGTAACAATGGGTGAATGAAAATCTAACTTCTCTGTAAACATTCATTAAAATAACAATTAAAATAAAATTTTATCCGGCGCTGGCTGAAAATCGCCTGTGACTTCATCCATAGCCACTGGTGAGAGTCAGCGCCCAGAGCCATCAGGGGCTTTAAGCTCGTTGCCCACTGCTGTGGTGTGGACAGCTGAAACCCAGGCCCCGACAGGCACCT